GGGGAGGGAAGAGGAGAGGGGACGGGGGAGGGGAGAGAGGAGGAGAGGGGATGGGGAAGGAAGGGAAGAGGAGAGGGGATGGGGGAGGGAAGGGAAGAGGAGAGGGGATGGGGGGAGGGGAGGGGAAGGGAGAGGAGAGAGAGGAGACAGGAGAGAGGGCAGAGGAGAGAAGAGAAGCAAAGTGAAGCAGTCAGGCATGGTGGCTCATGCCTTTCATCCTGGCACTTTGGGAGGCTGAGGTGGGCAGAAAGCTTGAGCTCAAGTGTTGGAGACCAGCCTGGGAAACATGGTAAGACCTCATTTCTACAAAAAATACAAAACCAGCCAGGCGTGGGAGCACATGCCTGTAGTCCCAGTTATTCAGGAGGCTGAGGCTGGGAGTTTCAGGCTGCAGTGAGTCGTGATTGTGCCATTGCACTCCGGTCTGGACAACAGAGTGTCTTAAAAAAAAAAAAAAACTAGGAAATTTGGAAAACATAAGAGCAAAAGACAGGATATGGAGAATAATGATTGGACACACTCAGTAAAGTGGTGAAGATGAGAACTGAGACATATATAAGGGCTAACTCATGAAGGGTCTTACGTATTTCGCTAAGAAATTTGAATCATCTTCTATAGGTAGTTCAATGTATGTGAGTCAATGAAGGACTTTAACATGGGAAATGACAAGATCGCTTTGGAAAGAGCATACTGTGGGAGTACTTTGCAAGAAAAAAGGAAAAAAGTAGACCCAAGATTAATAAAGCAGCTACTGCAATAGTTTACATAAGAAGCAATGGGAACTTTAAAATAAAGACAATTGACAGTGAAGAAAGGAATAGATTTGGAAATTATGAAGGATGTCAGCCACATAAACTCTATTTCCTCACATCATATGCCTATGCTGGGCTCATACTGTTGGGCTTGTACTTTTGTGCTGGTATTGTGTTTACATATCAGTCACTTTTAAAGTGCAGGAACTGTTATTTAAATCATCTTTTTAATCCCTAAAATGTAGTACAGTGTCTGGCTCTCCATAAGTACTCAAGAATTTGTTAAAAGAATGAATAAATGCATGCGGGTTAACTGATTAGCTCACTATAAATATATCACAACCAAGATGGTATGTGAATCTTTATGATCTCAAAGAGCTAACCAGAGGTCTAGCCTTTGCATGGCTGGTCAGGTTTACTTTCTCTACTATGAACCTCCTGAAACTGGACATTTAGATTAAGAAAAAAAAAGATCTTCCCGGTCAGGCATGGTGGTCCACTCCTGTAATCCCGGCACTTTGGGAGGCCAAGTCAGGCAGATCACTTGAGGCCAGCAATTAGAGACCAGTCTGACCAACATGGTAAAAGCCCACCTCTACTAAAAATAAAAAAAACACAAAAATTAGCCGGACGTGGTGGTACATGCCTGTAATTCCAGCTACTTGGAAGGCTAAGGCATAAGAATTGCTTGAGCCTGGGAGGCAGAGGTTGCAGTGAGCCAAGATCAGGCCACTGCACTCCAGTCTGGGCGACAGAGCAAGACTCTTGTCTCAGAAAAAGATAAGATCTTCCCAGAAGAATAAGGGCTATCAAATACAGTTATTTGAATAGCAAGGGGAAAACATTTTCTGTTAGGGAGAAAGAAGGTGAAACAGAATTTCTGGAGACAATAACATCTGAAAGGCAGAGGAAGGTCTAGGCAGTGACAGCATGTGCAAAAGCATGAAAGAGATGACATATTTAGGAAATATTAAGTTCTGTTTTAAAATTCAAATTTCTAGCTGAAAAAAAAATAACTGAAGCCCTAAAATAGATACTATAGTTACAAATGTCTATACTTTTGGTGACAAAAACTGATGATATGCATATTCCATAAATTAATTTTCTTCATTTAAAAAACAATACGCAAATTTATATTTTGTTAAAAATAATAATGATTTGGCTTTCTAGTGAGTCCATTTCATGCATTCACTTTTTATTTTTTTAGTAAACAGACTGAAAAACATGACCAATACAGACTTGCCTTTTCATAAGTTTTGCAATAAATACAATACATATTTGTATTTGCAAAATACACTACACACACTTTTCCAAAAGTAGAAAGATACTTCTTTCATCAGTATCTTAAAAAAATACTTAGCATAACAACTATTCAATGAAATGTGGCATCGTCAAATGTGAAATTCCTTACCTGATAAGGACTTCTACTAAAGACCATGCTCCTTTCATACAAGTTGGACACTGAAACAACTCTAAATAATATCTTGACATGGCTGGAGACTTCCAAGGAGGATGCAGGTGAAGAAGAGCTGACAATATATGAAAGTATCGACCAGAAAATGTATCTATGTTATCCTATTATTTAAAAATAAACAAACAAATAAAACACTATAGCTAAAAGTAGTTTCACTCGCTAATTCAGTCTAAAACCAAAACAGTAACCCTGGCCTAACTTTCTTTTTTGAGAAGGAGTCTTGCTCTGTCACCCAGGCTGGAGTGCAGTAGCACAATCTTGGCTAACTGCAACCTCCGCCTCCCGGGTTCAAGTGATTCTCCTGCCTCAGTCTCCAGAGTAGCTGGGACTACAGGTGCCCACCACCATGCCGGGCTAATTTTTGTATTTTTAGTAAAGATGGGGTTTCACTATGTTGGCCAGACTAGTCTCGAACTCCTGACCTTGTGATCTGCCCGCCTCAGTCTCCCAAAGTGCTGGGATTACAGGTGTAAGCCACCATGCCTGGCCTAACCCTGGCCTAAGTTTCTTGCCAAATATATGTGTTTAGACAAATGAAAGCAGATAGAAGCATGATGTTTAGCTAATTAAATAAAGCAACCGAGCGGTACACTCTATGTATAGCTGATACCTGAATAACAGGTTTTAACTGCGCGGGTCTACTTACACATGAATTTTTTCCAATAAATGTAGCCTACCCTTCACATCCATAGGTTCCACATCTGCAACTAAATACAGTATTCCGTATTTGGGAGGCCTTGGCCTCTCAAAGTGCTGGGATTACAGGCACGAGCCACAGTGCCTGGCCTAGTAAGAAGTTTTAATTTCCTCACCTGTAAAATAAAGACAATTCCTGCCCTTGCTGCTAAATGAGATTATGCAGCTCAAAGAGGATGATATGTATGAATGCATCTTATTAGTTATTGTATTAATTATTTTCTATTGCCTTCAGTAGTGAAGGAAAATTTTTTCCCCAGTAGTAAGGGAAAATTTTACAATTACCTCTAAAAGAAAACCTTTAAAAATATAGTATTCGCAGGATGTAAAACCTTCGTATGTGGAGGGCTGACTTTTCCTATAAGTGCAGGCTCTGAAGAACCAACTGCAGGACTTACGCGCAGATTTCAGTATCCACAAAGGTCCTGAAACCAATATCCTGTGATAGCAAGGGATGACTCTATCTATACACTGGGTAATCCCTTCTATTAACACTACCTTAGATGAAATATTCATTTTCCTTTTCACAATTATAATGAGATTTAAGAGGTCTCAAATGTTACCTGAAAGGAACTAAAGGTAAGAAACTATTCATGCAACATGCTTACTTATCACCAACATAACATACCTGAAAAAGCTGACGCCTGTTATGTTATCAAATTAGCACCTTGGTGAAGGGCATGATTAGAAAGCTATCTTTGAATATTTGCTTCTATTGGTTTACACAGTTTGAATATGCTCCCAGCATGGGCAACACAGCAAGACTCCATCTCTACAAAAAATTTAAAAATTAGCCAGGCATGGTGGCACATGCATAGGCTACCTGGTGCCAGCTACCTGGGAGACTGAAGCACAGGGACTACTTGAGCCTAGGACGTTGAGGCCACAGGATCACACCACTGCAGTCCAGCCTGGGCGACAGAGAGGGACCTTGTCTCTTTTTCTTTTTAAACAAAGAGTATGTTCATTATGTATACTATAAATAAAAATTATAATCGTCAATGTACTAATGGAGTAATTTACCAAATGTAATTCTAGATCACTGTAATCTGAGTTTTATATTTGATACTTTACTGCCGTGAGAAAAATGAGATAACCTTTTTCCCCAAAACAAAATTATCTTAGAAATCCTGAGAAAATAATTAGCTAAAGCACTAAGAGTAGTACCTAGTATATAGCTGGAAAACAGAAGAGTGGTAATAAATGGGTACTGCACTAGTAAAACGAAGAAAAAAAAACACTGAACAGAGAAACTGTAAACATACAAAAAATGAGAAAATGTTCACATTTTAACATTCTTTGAAAAAAAGATTATAAATCCTTAAGGCTGCTCTTACCTGTAGAACATTCTCTAGAAGGGCATGAAGAATGCATACAGGAGGGATATAATGTGCCTGCAAAGTGGAAAGTTCCTCAATTGCTTCTTTAAAAAACTGTCCTTCTATGAGGCTTTCAATTAAATTTAATACACCTCTGGGAAATTCAGCATTTTTAACCTAAGAAAGGAAAGATTATATGATTCAGAGAAAAGAACGATAAAATTTTGCAATCAAATCTTGAATTAGTAAGAAGTTTTTTATTTATTTATTTGAGACGGAGTCTCACTCTGTTACCCAGGCTGGAATGCAGTGGTGCAATCTCGGCTTACTGCAACCTCCGCCTCCCAGGTTCAAGTGATTCTCCTGCCTCAGCTTCCTGAATAGCTGGGCCTACAGATGCGTGCCACCATGCCCAGCTAGTTTTTGTGTTCTTAGTAGAGACGGGGTTACACCATATTGGCCAGGCTGGTCTCGAACTCCTGACCTCAGGTGATCCATTTGCCTCGGCCTCCCTAAGTGCTGGGATTACAGGCGTAAGCCACCGCGCCCGGCCTAGTAACAAATTTTAATTTCCTCATTTGTGAAATGAATATAATTCCTGGCCTTGCTGCTGGATGAGATTATGTAGTGCAAAGAGGATGATATGTATGAATGTGTTTTATTACTTGTTATATTAATTATTTTCTGTTGCCTTCAGTAGTAAGGGAAAATACTGCCTCTAAAATAAAACCTTTAATAGGAATTTGCAGAGTTTGGTTGATAAAAAAGAGAAAGAGCTACAACGACATAGTTCTTTAGTGAAAAATTATTTTCTGGTTTTCTTTTAAATTTAAAAATGAACCCTATTAAAATATCTTTTAAATGTTAAGATATCATCAAGCACAAGCAACATTTGCAAAAAGCGAAAACTGATTGGGAGAATCATAAAATCACTCTGAGGATGTGTATTTATATAACTCTAAGAGCTTCACAAAATACATTCCTGTTGGTCAAACTATTCTTAATAATAAAAGTAACTACTTTGAATAGTTTGAGTCAAAAATACTCTAAAAGACTACACGGAATTAAAAAATCCAGTTTAGAAGAATAAATAAGGAAACAAGGGCCTCAAGCCCCATTCCCTCCCTAATTTAACAATGGACTGGATATATGTATTGTGGGTTTATTTTGTTCTGAAATGAAAGTATGTAAAATAAAGGTATCATGTTCTTTAAATAACAAAATAAATACACTTTTGTAAATATCATACCAAAAAATTTTAATCTAAAAGTAGTCATTATGAAAGTTATGAAACATGAGAACAGGAATGTATATTTCACCTGTCATAAGCACGAGGTGTGTTGCTAATATTTGTGATCACTTTTTACTATTATATGGAAACTGGCGTTTTGACAGAATATTTTTATCATTTCTGATTAGAGAAACTGTATTTCTTTATTTATGCATACAACACATTACTTCTAATTGTGCATACAACACATTACTTTTATTCAAAATAACTAACAATAACAAAACACAAACTTCTTCTTTGCCGCCATCACCAATGCTGTTCCAAGTCCCTTACCTCTACATTGTTCACTGGTTGTTTATCTATTCTAACGCAGTTGTATCTGACAGCCTACAAAAGAGCAACCATATAATTAATACAACATTTTAAGACTGAAAAATACATTTCAGCTTCCCCAAACCTTGGAAAAACATATAAAACAGATCCAGGAACACATTAATAGCTATAATTAATATGATGCTCATATTTACTCAAACTAGCAACTTTTATTATTTTAGGGAACTCTCACAACTATGAACATTTCTCTATTTTCTCCTTCTAAATTACAATAATTAAGTCATATTCACTTTGAAGATCTGAAGAGGTTCATTGTCCTTAGTGTCGTAATTATTAGAAATATAAATGGGGAGAGCATTTTCTACAACGGTACACAGGAGAAAAAAACGTCAGTTACGTTTGCTATATAACCATATGTCAAATCTTGTTTTAAAACACCTATAATTGCATATTTAAAAGATTATCCTGGAAAAATATCTGCAACAAATATAATAAAGAGATAATACCCTGAGGCTAGGCGCTGTGGCTCACAACCTGTAATCCCAGCACTTTGGAAGGCCAAGCTGGACAGATCACCTGAGGTCAGGAGTTTGAGACCAGCCCGGACAACATGGCAAAACCCCGTCTCTATTAAATATACAAAAATTAGCCAGGCGTGGTGCAGGCGCCTGTATTCCCAGCTACTCTCAGGAGGTTAAGGCAGGAGAATTGATTGAACATGGAAAGTGTAGGTTTCAGTGAGCTGAGATTGTGCCACTGCACTCCAGCCTGGGCAACAGAGCAAGAACCTGTCTCAAAAAAAAACCAAAAAACAAAAACCCTGGAAGAAGGGGGCTTCAAAAAGGCTGACTTAGAGGTGCTTGGCACTCAACTCTTCCACAAAGGACTAAAACAGTGAGCAGATAATCACATATTGAATAGGGCATCTAAGAGAGAACATTACAATTCAAAAGTGACAGGGAATCTCTGAGGCAAGCAAACACAGAGAAGCAAAGCAGCTGGCTCAAATGGAACTGGCTGGGAGCCTGGAGAAACTACTCACTACGAATGGGAAAAACAAAAGAGAGATCTACACAGATTCACATTCCCACCAGGAATTCCTGCAATGCTAGCCGCAGGAGAGCCCCTTAGTCCTCACAGGCCCAGAGACTAGTTTAGAAAGCTGCCTAGAGTCCACTCAATGGCATTATTCCCAAGACAGAGTACACGCTGAGTACCACATAATCTGCTGGCACCCAAGAGGCTGCAGCACGGTGCCATTTCGAGAGCCCAGACACTACCAGACTACATTCTGCTCTGGGGCCCAACAGTCCTTGGATATCCACAAGCCAGGAGCCCCACTGATATTCTTGTCCACCCAGAGGGCTGAAGTGTCATGATGCCAGCTGGAGTCAACAATGCAACTAGGTGGCCAGCACTCTTACCTACACAGTGTCCTACATCCTGAGGAGTAGGAGGTGGAGTGCACCAGGGAGCCCACCCTGGGGACAAAAGGAACCAAAGAAGGAGCTCCTCAGATCTTGACAGCCACCTGTCTGGGGCCTCTGTCACTGGCAGAAACCCTGTCCCAAAGAGTTTCTGTGTGTTTCAAATCCTGCCCAGCAGCAGCATTGTCATACACTTACTTGCATGTGGCTTCAGGAGGCCTGAGGACTGGTCTACTGGGAGTTGTCCCAAGGCTTAAGGATAGATCCACTCTGCCTGCCACTGGTGCCCACAAGCACCATCTGGAAGCCTGAAGACAGGCCTACCCCACCCACCAACACTGTGTAAATGCACAATACGAGGACGTGGGGATCAGACCGCCTTGTCTGCTGCAGCCAGAGCCTACAGGAACTATTGGGGGGCCTGAAGAGAGGCCTACCCCACTCCGACTACTAGCAATGCCACCAGAGCCCAAGTGCACTGCCAGGGAGAATGGGTATCAACCCATCCCTGTCCAACACTCCTGGTGCCTGTGCACACCATCGAGAGGCCTGATAACAGGACTACCTGGCCCACTGCAACAGGCACTTGAGCACGCTGATATGATGCCTGTGAACAGGCCTGCCTCACTCACCACAGCTGACCCACACCCATCATCAGGGGCCTAGGAACAGGTTAGCCCTGCATGCAGTCTCTGGCAATGCCACCTACACTTGTCATCCAGGAACACGGGGATCAACCCACCCATTCACCAACCAAGTACCCAAATACACCATCTGGGGGCCTAGGACAACCCACTCTGCCAACTGCCACTGCTGATGGGGTCCCAGCACATCATCTGAGAACTTGTGGATCGACCCATCACACCAGCTACCAGGAGCACTTATGCAAACAACTAGGGGGATCAAAGAATGAGCATGTCAAGCTGCTGCTGCTGGTAACCACCCACATGTGCCACTTGGCCTGCTCGGCCTATTTCCACCACTGCTGGCACCCATGTTTGATACTTGGGGGCCCGAGGATTGGCCCACAACCAGTACTGCCATTGCCAACACCATGCACACCACCCAGAGACCTGAGGACCCACTCACCCCACTACTGTCACTGCTGGCACCCAAGCAAGCCACCAGGAGGCACAGGGATTGGCCTACCCAGACCTGCGATGACTGGTGTCCATGTATATTGCCCAGGGACCCAAGAACCAGCATGCACAGCCTGCTGCCACCGCCACTGCTGCCCAAGGACCACCCGCCTGTGTCCACATCCCCAGCAATGCTTCATTATAGCCTCCACTAACAAATGCAGCCTAAGCCACTGACAAACTCAAAGATAACACTGTGGATGACTACAGATGAAGAAATCATATGGAGACTACACCAATGTGCTCACATCTGGCAAAACTAAAGCACTCGATCCAAACTACACTATAGATACAACTATAGAAAAAAGTCTTTCCCTATGAAAACCAATTCACAAAATTTGAAGTGACCGTTACACCAGATACACAAATAGCAACATAACTACACAAGAAAGGTGAAAAAGCAAGAAAACATGGCACCTGTAAAGGAACACAGTAATTCTCCAGCAACAGATTCCACCAAAAAGGAAACCAATAAAATTCCTGAAAAAAAATTAAAATGATATTTAAAAAAACTCAGTGAGATACAAAAGAACACAGATGAACAACACAAAGTAAGCAGGAAGATAATTCATGATCTCAATGAGAAATTCAACAAAGAGATAATCATAGAAAATAATCAAATAGAAATCATGGAACTTAAGAATTCAATGAACGAAATAAAAAATATAACAGAGAACTTCAGCAATAGACTAGATAAACCAAAAGAAACTATTTCTAAACATGAAGACAGGTCTTTAAAATAACAGACAAAAAGAAAAAAAGCCTAAATGACATATGGGAAACCATAAAGTAAAGAAATATTCCAATTTTGAGAGTTCCAGATGGAGAAGTGATGGGCAAAGGCATAGAAAACCTATTTTAAAAACAATAGCTGAAAATGTCCCAAGTGTTGTAAGAGCTATTTCCAAATAGATTCAATCCTCAAAGGTCTCCAAGGCACATTACAGTCAAACTATCAAGTCAAAGACAAAGAAAGAATCCTAAAAACATCAAGAGAAAAAGCATAAAGTCACATATAAGGAAATCCCAATCAGGGTGACAACAGATTTCTCAGCAGAAGCCTTATAAGCCAGGAAAGAATAACATGACACGTTCATAGTATTGAAAGGAAAAAAACCGAAAACAACAACAACAACAAACCCAACTCAACAGGCAAGAATATTATACCCAGAAAACCTATCCTTCAAAAATAATGGAGAAATAAAGTCTTTCCCGGACAAGCAAAAACAGAGAATTCATTACTAACAGACCAACCACACAAGAAATGTTTAAACAAGTTCTACAATTGAAAGCAAACAGATGATATCTACCATCATGAAAACACAAGAAAGTATGAAACTCACTGTAAAGCAAAAATACAAATAAGAGCCAAATGTTAACAATACAAAAAAACCACCCAACTGCAATGATAAACAATAAAAGAAGAAATGAAAAAAGGACTTACAAAACACAAAACAATTAACAAAATAACAGGAGTAAGTCCTCACCCATAATAACCTTGAATGTAGATGGATTAAAATCTCCACATAGAAGATATAGACTGGCTGACTGGCTACATATATTAAAAAAGCAGTGTGTTGCCTATAAGAAACTCTCTCCACCTGTTAAAACACATAAAGACGGAAAGTGAAGAAGAACGGAAAAAGATATTCCACAAGAATGGAAACCAATGCGAGCAGGAGTAGCTATACTTACATCAGAAAAAGCTTTCTAAGTTAAAAACTGTAAAAAGAGATAAAGAAGGTCATTACATACTGATAAAAAGATCAATTCCGCAAGAGGATATAACACTTCTAAATATCTATGCACCCAACTTGGGTGCACCCAGATATATAAGGCAAATATTACTAGATTTAGAGGGAGACAGAGACTTCAACACAGTAACAGTTGGGGCTCTACTACCCCATTCTAAGCATTGGACAGATTATTGAAACAGAAAATCAAAAAACAAACATTGGATTTAAACTGCACTTTACAACAAATGAACCTAACAGACATTTAAAGAACATTTTATCTAACAGCTGTGGAATACACATTCTTCTCATTAGTATATGGGACATTCTTCAGGGTAGACATTAGGCCATAGAACAAGTCTCAAAAAATTTGAAAAGATTTGAAGTCATATCAAGTATCTTTCTCAGGCAACAATGGAATAAAACTAAAAATCAGTAAGAGAAACTTTGGAAACTGTACAAATACATGTAAATAAAATCACACGTTCCTAAATGACCACTGGGTCAATGAAGTAATTGAGAAGGAAATAAAACATTTCTTACAATAAATAAAAATGGAAACACAACATACCAAAACCTATAGAATACAGCAAAAGCAGTGCTAAAAGGGACATTTACAGAAAAAATGCCTGTATCTAAAAAGTAGAAAGATTTCAAATAATCAACCTAACAACGCACCTCAAGGAACAAGAACAGCAAGAACAAACCAAACCCCAAATTAGCAGAAGGAAATAATAAAGATCTATTATTATTTAGAGTAATTATAAATTAACAAATATTTATTAAAGATATATAACGTAATAAATTTTAATAAATAATAAAGAGTAGAATGAAACAAAATAGACTTAAAAATACAAAGGATCAATGAAACAAGTTAATTTTTTGAAAAGATAAACAGAATCAATAAGTCATTAGTAAGACTAACAAAGAAAAAAAAGAAAAAAAACCCAAATAAATAAAATCAGAAGTGAAAAAGGACACATTACAATTGATATCAAAGAAACACAAAAGAATATTAGAGACCATTATGAACTATACACTAACAAATCAGAAAACTTAGGGGAAATAGATAAATTCCTAGACACATAAAACCTACCAAGAGTGAATCAGGAAGAAACAGAAAACCTGAACAGACCAATGAGTAATGAGATTTAATCAGTAATAAAACTCTCCCAACAACAAAAAAAAGCCCAGGACCAAAAGACTTTATTGCTGAACTCAACCAAATGTACAAAGAACTATCAACAGAAATTTTCAAACTGTTTCAGAAAATTGAAGGGTAGGGAATTCTTCCTAACTTATTCTACAAGGACACCATTATCCTGATACCAAAACCGACGAAGACACAACACAAAAAGAAAACTACAGGGCAATACCCCAGAGAAACGCAGATGCAAAAATCCTTAACAAAATATTAGCAAACGAAATCTAACAACACAGCAAAAAGACAATACACTATAATCAAGTGATATTTATCCCAAGGATGCAAGGATGGTTCAACGTATACAAATAAGTAAATTAATAAAGACAAAATGAAGGACAAAAACTATTTGATCATTTCAATATATGCAAAAAAGCATTTAATAAAATTTCTTCAACATCCCTTCATGATGAAAACTCTCAACCAACTAGGCATAGAAGTACTTCAACATAACAAAGGTCATACCTGACAAACCCATAGCTACCTTCTGTGAAATGGGAAAAACATGAAAGCCATTCCCCTAAGAACTGAAACCAGAAAAGAATGCCTACTTTTGCCACTTTTATTCAACATAATAACTGAAAGTCATCCTCACCAGAGAAATCAGGCAAGGAAAAGAAAGAAAAGGCATCCAAATTGAAAAAGAAGTAAAATTGTCCCTCTCTGGAGACGACATGATCTTATACGTAGAAAAACATGAAGACTTGAAAAAAAAAATCACTTAAAACTGATAAATGAATTCAGTAAAGCTGTGAGATAAAAAGTTAACATTCAAAAATCAGTAGCATTTCTATATGCCAATAATGAACTAGGTATAAGTGAATCACGAAAGCAATCCCATTTACAAGAGCTCTAAAAATTATACAATACCTAGGAATATATTTAACCAAGGAGGTGAAAGATCTCTATACGGAAAAAACTACAAAACACTGATAAAAGAAATTGACATGCACATAAACAAATGGAAAGACATTCCATATTCATGAGTTTGAAGAATTAATATGGTTAAAATAACCACACTGCTCAAAGTAATCTACAAATTTAATGCAATCCCTATCAAAATATCAATGACATTCTTCTGTGAAACAGCAAAAACAATCCTAAAATTTGTAAACAACCACAAAAGACCCTAAATACCCAAAGCAATGCTGAGCAAGAAGGACCCTAAATATCCAAAGCAATGCTGAGCTGGAGGCACACACTACCTGACTTCAAAGTACACCACAAAGTTATAGTAACCCAAACAGCCTGGTACTGGTATAAAAACAGACATCTAGACCAGTGAAGAACAGAGAATCCAAAAATAAATCCACATATTTAAAGCAAACTGATTTTGGACAAGGTGCCAAGAACTTTCACAGGGGAAAGGACAGTCTTCAATAAATGATGCTGGGAAAATCAGATTATCATAAGCAGAATGAAAACTAGACTGTTATCTCTTCACCATATACAAAAATCAACTCAAAATGAATTAAAGACTTCCAGGTAAAACCTGAAACTATAAATGTACTAGAAGAAAACATAGGGGAAACACTTCAGAGCATTGGTCTAGGCAAAGATTTTACAGCCAAGACTTCAAACACATGACTTATCTGTGACATTATTGAGGTATATATAGCACATAATTCAGCCTGTTTACTAAATGCCCAAATACATTACTGTATAATAGACTAGTAAACTAAGAAAATCATTTTAAGACATATTAAACATACTAATGAATCATATGTATATATGTATATATTTTGAATACACTACAGGACAGGATGTTATACAAAATTTTTCATGTGCCAAGTTTTACCTGAGCTCTATATATGTGCTTCCTTAAGGCATTTTTTATTTCAACAACATCCACATCTGTCTTGATAGCCATGGCTTTTGATTCTTTGGCATACTCAGCAAAAATAGAATTCTTCATTTCTTTCTACATACAGCAAAGTAAAATGACTTTAGAAAATGTACTAAAGACAGTGTCAACATAGATATCACAAAGGACAATATAAGAGGAAAACATTCATACCTTGTTAACAACAAAGATCCTCGCAATCATATATCAAGATTACACAGTGAAAGAAAAAGCTCAAAAAGCAAACATTTCAATTTGTAAAGAATTAACTGATATTTACATATGTACTTTCTTAAGGTACTTTTCACTTTATCCTGCTCCAAATCGTTCCTGGAACTGCTTTTTTGTTGTTGCCATGGTCATACAAAACAAAATTCATTACTTATTTAACTTTATAATTTTCCCGAAATTCTTCTGAATATATGCATATATACATTACATGGCATTTATTTATGTATTTAGGTATTTATTTTTGAGATGGGGTCTTACTCTTGTCACCCAGGCTGGAGTGCAGTGGTACAATCTTGGCTCACTGCAACCTCTGCCTCCGAGGCTCAAGTGATCCTCCCACCTCACCCTCCCAAGGACCTGGGACCACAGGCACCCACTACCATGCCAGCTAATTTTTTGTATTTTTGGTAGAGATGGGGTTTCACCATGTTGCCCAGTCTGCTCTCAAACTCCAGAGCTCAAGTAATCTGCCCCGTCGGCCTCCCAGAGCGCTAGGACTACAGGTGTGAGCCACCACATCCAGCCCAGGGTATGGTTTAGATTGTTAAAAAAAAGTCATACTCTAGAGAAAATTTACCCAAGATGTATTCAATTTTACAAACAAGATATCTCATTTAAAATGGTCTATTATACAAAAGAAAGAGCAAAACAAAAAATAAAATTTACATTGGAAAGTATTACCCAAATATACACACATGTAGTTTTAAAGATTTTTTCATTTTAAGAAATAGTCTTCTCCAGTTTCTTTTTCTTATTCATTACATTCAGGCAAAACAAAATTCACTGAATACCTTGATTATTAACTCAGATTTCTTTGTATATGCATGTATAAATACATTTACTGTGGACCAAAGTTAACTGGGATATTAACTATGAATATTACATCAGACTGACTTAAGATTTTTTCTTAAAACATGTAGTATTACATATCTTGATTATATTAGAGAACAGCCAAAAAATAAAAAACAAAGCTGTAGCTTAGCTTACAAAGCTTTACCTGATCTCTATTATATATGTGCCTTCTTAAGGTACTTTTAATTTTTTCATGTTCAACGTCTTTCTTGCAATTGCTTTCTTTTTCTTTCTTGCGTTTTCTCCTCAAAGTATAACTCCTTTGAACATCTTCATCTTTTTTCTTAATTTCCTTCTACATGTATTTAGACCACAATTAAATCTCAAAATCAATGACATATGTTACAAAATCCAAATAAACTCACAAGTGACCTTCACACAAGTATACCACATTAAAAAATAAAGAAGTACGGCCGGGCACGGTGGCTCACGCCTGTAATCCCAGCACTCTGGGAAGCCAAGGCGGGCGGATCACCTGAGGTCGGGAGTTAGAGACCAGCCTGACCAACATGGAGAAACCCCGTTTCTACTAAAAATACAAAATTAGCCAAGGGTGGTGGCATATGCCTGTAATCCCAGCTACTCGGAAGGCTGAGGCAGAATCCCTTGAACCTGGAAGGTGCGGGCTGTGGTAAGCTGAGATTGAACCATTGCACTCCAGCCTGAGCAATTAGAGTGAAACTCCATCTCAAAAAAATAAAAATAAAAATAAAAATAAAGAAGTATGTACAACAGAATCTCATCCATTGATGGAGTAGGTGTACATTAGTAAAATATTTTGAAAAAAGTTGGACACTGCCCAGTACAGTTGAACATATACAGTCCTTATGACCCAGCAACTCCATTCCTAGGAATATACCAACTAAGCTAGAGAAATTACTAAACATGTATCCCAAGAGGTATACAAAATAATGTTCACATTATTCATAGCAGAATTGTTCATAATTGCAAAAACTTATCAAACACATAAACCAATAAAAAGAAGCCCAAAGGCTTATCAACAGTAAAATGCATAAAAGATGTAATTGTGGCACAAACAGCAAAATTTTATATACACCAGCAAAAGAATTCTATAATAACAAACTATAAAATGTTCATGAATAGACAAAGCTAAACCATATAGAGTTAGAGATACAACACAGCTGTTAAAATTATAATGAAAAATAAGAAAAGAATGAACACAAATTCTAAGACAAGGATTACTTCTAGGTAAGAGGAAGAAAGGGGATGTATCAGAAAATGATACAGCAGGTTGGGCGCAGTGGTTCACGCCTGTAATCCAAGCATTTTGGGAGGCCGAGGCAGGCGGATTACAAGGTCAAGAGTTCAAGACCATCCTGGCCAACATGGTGAAACCCCGTCTCTACTAAAAAAATTACAAAAATTAGCCAGGTGTGGGAGCGTGCACCTGTAGTCCCAGCTACGCGGGAGGCTGAGGCAGGAGAATTGCTTGAACCCATGAGGCAGAGGTTGCAGTGAGCTGAGATTGTGCCACCGCACTCCAGCATGGCGACAGAGCAAGACTCCATCTCAAAAAAAGAAAAAAGAAAATGATATAGCAGGTCTTAGAAAACTGATAATGCTCTATTTCTTAATCTAGCTATTGGATACAATAACTCATTTTTACACATTTTTTAAAAGCTGAAGAAAACTGTTCTATAAACACTATATATATTAAAAATAAATAAATTATTTTTAATTTAGAAAGTTGTACCTGATTTTCATATGTATGACTTCCAAAGGTATTTCTCATTTTAACAAATTTCAAATCTTTACTGGAACCACTGAATTTTTCTTTTTTGTGATGTTCACTCAAAATAGAACCAACATTAACATCTTCATCATGATTTTGCATTTCTTTCTGCATGTTTGTAAAAGCAATTTAGTTAAGACTGTGGATTAAATATAGCCTTAACGCAATCAACACAAGTCACAAAAGAAAAACCCATCCAGGAAAGTAGGTTTTGTAAAATATACATACAAGGTTAAATATAGTAAAGAGCCCTCTGAATTATGTAAGATAAAGCAGAACATAATTGTTTTCAGTTCATAAAGCTTTATAGTACACATATATGCTGCAGTTTACCTATGTGCTTAACTCAGATTAAGAAGTATTAAAAATCATGTTGTTTAATCATTATACCAAATAGCTATTTTGAAAAAAGGATATTTCTACTTGAATTTTACATACATAATTTGAGTCCTAAAAAGAACTCAAGAAGACATATATACAGTCATGCACTGCTTAACGATGGGGATATGTTTTAAGAAGTACATCGTTAGGTGATTTCATCACTGTGCGAACATCAGAGTCTACCTACACAAACCTAGATAGTATAGTCTACTACACACCTAGTCTATATGGTATGGCCTATTGCTCTTAAGTTATAAATCTTTACGACATGTTACAGTATTAAATGCTATAAGCAATTGCAACACAATGCTGAGTATTAGTGTATCTAAACATAGAAAGAGTAAGTAAAAATATGGTATTATAATCTTATGGGATCACTGTCATATATGGGGTCCGTTGTTGACCAAAACATCACTATGTGTACATGACTGTAGATGTATTTTAATAATTTTCATTTATCTTAAATGTCTATTTTATTTTTTTGCCATGTTTATTCAAAACTAAATTTATTTTAATAACTCCATCATCATTTTACATTCCTCTCTATATGTAAAAATGTTATATACTGTGGTTTACAATGCATATTTCACAACAGGCACATCAACTCAAAAAAGCTTCTCATTAAAACATGCACATATAGTAAATTACAAGAAGTAGTCAGAAGTCACATAAATATCAATATACACTGGAAAAGTCAGAAAAAAATGCAAAAATATTTTAAGTTTGGAAAGTTTTAGCAAATCTTGCCATATCCAATTTCTTAAGGAACTATGCAATTTTAAAAGTTCCAAATTATTCCTAGAATTACCTTTCAAAACTACTTGACAGATATGGTAAAAACAATTTATTTTGAATTTCTTCCTAGTTATACATAAAACTTTTAGTTTAGACTAATAATTATCAAGTTAATAATTTGATAAATTAACCAAATAGTTTCATATTGTGTTCATAAAACACAATATGAAACTGAACATAACTGAACATTAGCTCTTCTAGAGCAGAACTAATAATGTCCTTTTTGTGGTTGCTACTGCTTTTTGAAAAGTTGTACTTGACAGCCACCATATATGCTTTCTTGAGGTACTTTTCATTGCTCCAAGTTCAAAGTCCTTCCTGTTTTATTGTTTTACAAGTTAATCAAACTAGAATTCATTTGTATATTTTTAAATTTTGTTCTATATAACTACTTGAATTTACATGAATTATAAATATATATTGTGCTCTCAGGTAAGAAAAATGCTTTATAAGACACACATGTTACCTAAACATACAGTTTTTAAGTAATTACCATGTGTTGAGAACACACTATATATAAGGAACTCTGTATATTTCTAGACGCATACAAACATTACTTCATCAACAAGAGTTCCAAAGCAGAGACATAGGACAATTTCCTAACATGGTCAAGTCATGGACTATCAACACATGGTTCAAACGCCAGCCTTCTGATTCCAAAATCTGCTTTTTTCCACCATACTTTGCCTCTCAAACAATTCTGCAAGAAACATCAGCAATGTATGTTTTCCAGCCTATAAAGTTTACCTGGGTTCTATACATGGTCTCTTTTAAGGCACCTTTCATTTCAAGAAATCCTGCATCTTTCCTGAAATCTTTGTTTTTTTCTTCATTGCTATGTTCAGTCCAAAGAGAACTGGTTTGGGAATCTTCATCATTCTGAATTTCTTTCTGTATGTATGTAAAAATGGTTTAGGCAATTATCCAAGTGTATTTTCAATACTATGTACATTTTATGGTTTTCAGCCTTAACTATAATTACATAATACTTTGTTAGTTAAACAAGTAGGTAAAATGCACCCTCTTAAATAAAGTATATTAAACACTGATAAAAATCTTTCAGGCAAAAAATTCTTAGAGCAAAGGTCCTGAATAACAAAGTGATTTCTGCATATCTCAAGAAAAGGTAATGCTTTGTTGATCTACTAACAAGTCATTTTTATGAACAACCAAGAACAAAAATATTTTATGTAGTCCCTGTTCAAGCTAAAGTTACAATCTAGATTTTACAAATCATCAATTATAGATAGACTTTTTCTTGGATTATTTTTCAGTTTTTTACTGGTAAGACTTCTCACTTGCAAGTATACCCCACACAGAGAGGAAACGGTTACACAATACTTTTACTTGAACAGCAATGAACAACAATTATCTTAACATAGCTCTATATCAAACAACTAAATTTCTCTTGTCAAGGAACCCAAACTGAATTTATAAATTAACTTAAAATAATTACTTTAAAATTTATTGCATATATACTTATACATATAATTCTGTAAGTTTAGTAATATAAACACCTGGGAGTAAAAGCGAGTTCAAGACAGTTCCCAAAATGTACTTATGAGAGGCTGTTCAGGCTAAGCGTGGTGGCTCATGCCTGTAATCCCAGCACTTTGGGAGGCTGAGGCGGATGGATCACGAGGTCAGAAGATCAAGACCACCCTACCCAACATGGTGAAACCCTGTCTCTACTAAAAATAGAAAAATTAGCCAGCCATGGTGGCGCGTGCCTGTAGTCCCAGCTACTAGGGAGGCTGAGGCAGGAGAATGGCTTGAACCCAGGAAGTGGAGGTTGCAATGAGCCAAGATCATGCTTGAACCTGGGAGGTGCAGGCTGCAGTGAGCCGAGATCACACCACTGCACTCCAGCCTGGGTGACAGAGCGAGACTCCT